TGATGAAACGATTCGTGGTGCAGCCACCAGCCCCAGCGCCAGCACATCGACGCAGCAACCAATTGTGGTTCAGGCCCCCCCATCCTCCGACCAGCCACGCAGACACAAGATGAAGAGGCTGCACATTGAAGACTTCAGCGGCAAGTCGAGCGAGTCCGTGGAAGCGTGGCTAGCGACGATACCTCAGGAGGTAGAACGGCAAGCAGGCCTTGGCGGTGACTCGTGGACGGCCGAGGAGCTGTATTACGGGGCCACTGCTCATCTGAAGGATGCAGCCAGTAAATGGTCAATCACGCTGACCGAACACATGCAACCGGAAAATAGAAACCTCATTTACCTGGTGAGGAAGATGCGGAAGAAGTATGGAAGCCGGGACAATATGTTTCGCATCCAGCAGCGGCTCGCAGCGAGAGTGCAGCAGCCCGGCGAGCGCCTGAGCGACTACGCGGCCAGCCTGACTAACATTGGGTTCGGCAAGCGCATTCCAGCAGAGTCCTACGTGGAGACGTTCATCAACGGCATTAATAATGAGACGACAGCAACACAAGTACGGGCCTACGAACCTCAAACGCTGGATGAAGCCGTACAGTTCGCGGAGGACAAGTGCGGAGAGTATGGCGAGGGGTTCAAGGTCACCGACTGGCGCGTAGCGAAGCGCAGGTATCGAGAGAACCGAGAGTACGGCGAGGAGGGAGACGCTTCTCCTTCAAAGAAGAAATCGACGAATGAGGCGGCAGAGCAACTCGACTGGAGACAGCTGGGTTTGGGATTCGGTGGCGAAGAGCCCCCGAGTTTTGACACGAATGGGAAGGCAGTGAGTGGATTGGCTAAAACGGCTAAGAAGGACCCACTCTCATTGGCCGCCCTCCAAGCACTGATGCTTGTCTCCGCCGGGCTAGGGAAAGACAGTGCCAAGGCGACGTCCGGCAACTTAAAGGCGGCACAAGCCCGGAAGATCATCGAGGCCGAGAATAACTCCGCAACGGGCAATCAGCAGCCGGGGAACGACGCAGCGGCAGGCACGCGCTGGCAAGGCCAGAACCGCAACGGTAACACCGGCGGCGGCAGCAGTTTCAACGGTGGAGGAAGAGGCGGAGGCGGTCGAGGCTTCGGAGGCTTCGGAGGCGGAAGAGGTCGTGGCGGTCGCACAGACCTGGAGAACTACGGGCCCCAAGATACCCGCCTTATTTTGCAGAGGAAGGCAGAGTCTGCGTGTAACTACGGCGGAGAGGTAGGCCATTGGTGGCGCGAGTGTCATAAGCGGTTGGCCGATGAAGAGACTGCGAAGCGGCACCAGACCGTGCCAGCAGTGACCAGTGATCCGGGAGCCAGCGGCGCAGCAGTGGCAGCGACGACAGCGGCGCCGGAAAACTAGGAGCGGCAGGGAAGGCGGGGGCTTCACTGTCGCAAGACGACGCTATCCCCGAGATAAGAGAAGGCGGCGACGTAAGGCTGGAGGATCACGTAAGGGTCTTACGAGCAGCGGCCGGGAGGAGAAGTGCTCTGACCCAGGGGAAGAGTACCGACGTGAGAAGCGGTGGTACTGCAACCCAGGGGAAGAGTGGAGGAACGGATGGCCAGCGCGGCGCAGCAGGTGCGGCGACTGGTGGCGAGCAGAAGGAGGCGTTGGACGCAGTGAAGACGGAGACGAAGTCTCGGAAGCGAGCGAACGAGGTGTGCATGCCGGTGATGATGAACCCGGTGGACGATGACGAGTTCATGCCGGCCAAGAAGGGGCGTACGAAGAAGCAGAAGCTCCGGGCGAAGTTGTCACTTAGCGGTGGACGAACTGTATCCGAACGAAGGCGACAGCGACGCGCGAGCGTGAACTTAGCGGCAGTGCACGGCATTCTGGTGAGCGAACTACGGGAACGGCGCGAAGAGCGAGCCAAGGTGCTGCGGGTGATTGTGAGGAAAGCGTTGCGTGTATTGGCAGAAGCAGATGGGAGCGTACGGCGCGGTGACCACGTACGGCGCGGTGATCACGTGCGGGCACTTCAAGTAGCGGTGGCCGCTGGAAGAGCAGTCGACGCGCCAACGCCAAGGAAGAAGAGGAGCCGCACCAAGAGGTCAGGACCGGTAATCGAACCGCCCGGAAGTGACGAAACGGCAGCAGAACTGGAAGACGACGAATGGTTGGCGTGCGTCCAGCGGTACATGGAGAAATGCCCTGTGGAGCTAAAAGAGGAGGTCTCACTTGCGGATATGCGGGCCGCCAGGAAGCAAGCAGTCAAAGAGGCGAAGGCGTATCGAAGAGCAAAGCGGGTGCGACGACTCCAGCGTTACCGACAACAGGAGAAGCAACGCCGGATCGAGGCGACCAAGTTGATGAAGCTGATGGATGAGAAGTGCAAGCCGAAGAAGAAGTACGTATACGAGAAGAGCGGCAACTACGGCGATGTGGAGCTCGCGGCGGGCGAGGATGGACGAGAGCTACGAGTGGCTCAGTTGAGAGCTGCAGGAGCAGGAAGTCCAAGTTGTCTGCCGACGGCATTGCTAGCGTTTGCGCGAGCACACACACAGGAAGTGCGACTAGACAGCTGCGCACAATTCAGCGTTGCAGGCGTCGAGTTACGGCGCTACGGTCGGTGCATTACGCGCGACGCTCCAGTGGATGTGGTTGAAGGGTTTGGCGGAGGTCGAACACGTGTACTGGGAGTATGGAGGTTTCTGGGCACGACGCAGTACCAGCAGAGAGTTACGATCGATGCGCTGGTCGTGGACGGACAGGGCGACGAGTTCCTGGTAGGAGAAGACTGGATGATTGAGCGGCAGGTGAAAATGGACTTCTCGACGCGAGAGTTGAAGTACCGAGAGGCGGACGGCACGAAGGTCATATTACCCTTCACGTGTCACGGAGTGAGCTCATTGCAATTGGAAGGAGCCGGGCGCAGCGCGATGGTACGGCTGGCCAAGACGGTAAAGCTCACGACGAATACGCAGAGTGTAGTGCGCGTCACTGTGGACGCCGAGGACGGGACGACGGGCGTGTTTGTTCCCAAGCCAAGCAGTAAGCGGCAAATGCTGATGGCGCCGACACTGGACGCAGTGCGCAACGGGACAGTACGCATAGCAGTGATGAATCTGGAAGGCAGACGCAAGAAGATGCCGGCCCGTGAAGCCTTAGGCACCTGGGTTCCGACGGAAGAAGTGATGAAGATCCTGTCGCTGAATGGCGAGCTAGAGCAAACACGAGTGGCAGAGTGGGTGAAGACACTGAGCACGGAAGAAGCACTGCCATTGACGGACGAAGATAAGTTGGACATCGGAGACATGGAGCCGTCGGATCGTGAGCTTGTGGTGGCGTTGTTACGACGTTATCGAGGGATAGTCGAGAAGAAGAAGGGATGCCCGCCACTTGCAAAGACAAATGTGCAGCATCACATAAACACTGGAGACACGGCGCCGATCATGCTAGGACGAAGAAGGCATGCAGTGTCGGAGTACGAGCTGATAGACAATGAGGTTGACACGATGCTGGAGCAAGACGTCATCGATAAGGGAGAAGGCGCGTGGGGTTTCCTTGTGGTGATTGTAAAGAAAAAGGACGGCAGCGTGCGCTTCTGTATTGACTACAGAGCTCTGAATGCAGTGACAGCGAAGGACGTCTACCCACTGCCGAGAGTGGATGAGACGTTAGAAGCGCTGCACGGGTCAAGGCGATTCACGAGTCTTGATTTGCACGCCGGCTACTGGCAACTGGCGGTGGCACCGGAAGACAGGCAGAAGACAGCGTTCACAACGAGGCGTGGACTCTTCCAATTCAAGCGCATGCCTTTTGGACTCTGCAACGCACCGAGTACATTCCAACGACTGATGGACTGTGTGCTACGAGGTCTTACATGGGTCTGTTGCCTGGTCTACTTGGACGACGTGATCATTTTTACGAAAGGGACTGTGGCTCAACATGTGGTCGAATTGGCAGTTGTATTGGAGCGATTGGCAGAAGCTGGCCTGAGTTTGAAAGCGTCCAAGTGTTCCTTTGCGGCGACGCGGATGGAGTATGTAGGGCATGACCTAACGACAGAAGGGATCCAGCCGACGAACCGGCTGATTAAAGCGACTGTAGAGTTCCCCCGACCACAAGACGAAGCGCAGGTGAGGAGATTCGTGGCATTGGCTGGCTACTATCGACGATTTGTGCCGGAGTTTGGGACGAAGATGGCGCCGCTGACTAGTTTGCTGCGGAAGACGACTGAGTGGACTTGGGGAGATGCACAAGAGGAGGCGTTCACGTGGGCAAAAGCATGGCTTAGTACAAGACCTGTCCTTATCTACCCTGACTACAAATTGCCGTTCAAGTTAACGACGGACGCCTCGAAGACCGGACTAGGAGCAGTGTTATCGCAGGACCAAGGACGTGGCGACCAACCGGTGGCGTACGCCTCCAAGGTCAATAGTCCGACGGTCGCCAACTACAGCATTTCAGAATTGGAGTGCCTGGCAGTAGTGTGGGCAGTGAGGCTGTTCAGACCTCATCTTTACGGAAGGAAGTTCACGATTGTGACGGACCACATTGCGTTGAAGTGGCTCATGACGGCGAAGGAACCGGCGGGTCGACTGCATCGTTGGGCGCTCACTCTGCAAGAGTACGACTTCGACATTCTATACCGTCTGGGTAGAGAAAACCACGTGGCAGACGCTTTATCCCGAGGACCAGCAGGTGACGCAGCAGTGACTGATAAGGACGGTGAGAGCAAGGAGGACCCCGACATCGGAGGAGTGCAAGAGGTGCGCTCCCGTGACGAAGTGGAGGCCGAGGTAGCGGCTGAAATTGGGCGACTAGAAGCAGAAGCGAGTGGAGTAGCGACGGTGAATCGGGTCGACAGCGCAGAGTTAGGCATCGTGCAGTTCACTGATCAGGACATCAAGAGAGAGCAAGGACGATCAAATATGGTGCAGAAGTTGAAGGAGCAAGGACAGTATCGAGGACGGCGCGTATTCGAGGACGAGGACGGCATGGTGAAGGTGGGGATAACGCCTGGGGAAGAGCGCATCCTATTGCCTGCGGCGTACTGGGCATTGGCGTTCAAGGAGGCGCACGACAGCATCTGGACGGGTCGCCTACGGGGACCACAGACGAACGAGAGACTACGCCGGTTGTATTGGTGGCCTGGGATGAGCAGGACGGTGAGCAGCTGGGTATCAGCGTGTCAAGATTGCGGCTCGCGCAAAGCACGACCGAAAGCAGTAATTCCGCCATTACGGAGTGTGCGCACTGGAGATGTTTGCGACAGATGGGCGATCGACGTTGCCGGCCCACTACCGGTGACGCCCAACGGCAAGAGATACGTGATTGCTGCTGTGGAGTACACGACGCGATACGCGGTCGCGGAGGCTGTCGCGGAGCATACGGCGAAAGAGATTGCGCGGGTTTTTGATGGGAGAAAGTGTTGTTGGTCTTCGGCCCCATGAGAGAGATCATGATGGACGGGCCGATGGAGTTCAGCAGTCAAGCGACGGCGGAGCTGCTGCAGCTATTGCAGGCGAAGCAGTCGACACCGGTGCCGTACCGACCGAACCTGCTTTGAACTTGTTGAACGGTTTCCACAGAAACTTGGAAGGACATCGTGAGTCTGTATGTGGGCGAGGGCAGGATGATTGGGACGATTTTCTGCCATAGTGCACTATACGCGTATAACTCGGCGAAGCACGCGACGCATGGCTACCAGCCTAACGAACTAATGATGGGCCGGAAATTACGGACGCCTGCAGAGTTGCTGAGGAAGAGTCGGTTGGTGTACCCGCATAGCACATTGCAGGAGTACCATCGAGTGCTGCTCGAAGATTTGGAGACGGCGCGTGAGTTGGCGGCATTGGCGCTAGCGAAGGAGCAAGCAAGGCAGGCGATGTATTACAACCAGAGGAAGGTATGTACAGGACGAGACTTTAGACCAATTCAATTGGTATGGGTGTACAGGCACGCGCGAGGACCAGGCATCACCAAGTTCGGGCATCGCTGGCGTGGACCTGCGCAGATCATAGAGGCGGCCGGATATGACAATTTCCGAGTGAAGATGCTGGAATCGGGAAAGGAGCTAGTGACGCATTGCTCGTTCCTGATCTCCTATTATTATCCGACGAATCTGCTGGAAGAGATGGCGCGCGACATCGCAGCTGACTTGCAGGAGGAGGCAGTCGCGGCGGCTGACGCTGATTCTGAGGACGACGACGGAGACGAACCGGTAATAGCAGCGACGGAGGCTGCTGAAGATAGAGCGGCGGCAGCGGCAGGAACGAGTGGTGGAGCGAGCACGACGGATGGAGACGGACGCAGCGGGGCGATAGCGACCAGCGACACAAGTCAGGTTGCTGCCGACAGCGCAGGGCAGCAAGTCACCAGCGCCACAGACGTGCTGCCGACGCGGAAGACGGCCCCAGGCAAGCGACGTGCCACCCCGACAGCACAGCAGGATCAGGATGACGAAGACGACGACGGACACGGGGAGCAGTCGAGAGGCCGTGCGCCACCACGCAAGCGCGTGCGCTTCACGGCCCGAGCTGCAGTCGACCCTAACGCAGACACCATTGCTAGCCGAACGCGAGCACGACAGCGAAGAGCTCCGTACACAGACGCAGTGCCAAGTGTTGGTGACGAGACTAACGCAGCAGCAGCCAGTAGAACGACGCACACACCAGAAGATGCGAGTGGTGTCAGTGCCGAACAACCAGCGACAAGCGGAAGAGTACGAGGACAAGCCGATGTACCTGCCCATGGAGGCTTACGACCAGGACCAGACACGACGACCAGCGGAGATGATGGAGGAGCCAGACACACAGCAACAGCAGCAGCAGACGCACCAGCACGAGGACGAGCAGTCGGACCACCTGACGAAGAAGATGAAGAGCCGACCATTTACGTGTTTGCTGGACGAGGGCGACGCGGTGTCGACAGCTTGGTGTCTTCACGTCCTCGCCTCAGCAGATGGCGGCCGGACGACGTTGTGGTTGAACGCCGCCGCCGACGATGTCGGACCCGCACCGGCCGATACATACTGGAGTTCGAAGCTGAGCGGCTGGGTGATCGACTTGACCCAGACGGCCCCCAGAAGCTCTGGATCAACCAAGCAGATTACGAGGAGCTGTGGCGACAAGGACGCGTGCACACTGGTGCAGACGAAGATTCGGACGACAGCGACCAAGATCAAGAAGGTGACGACAGCGAGGATGACAGCGATGGTGCAGGGAATGCAATCCCACGTGAGCCCGCGCACTAACTGCATGGCGAAGAAGGCCTAGCAGCACAAGAAGATGGCGGCGATGGACGAGCGGATTAGCGGACCAAGAGACAGCGGATACGGTGGCAAGGACAGCGGCGATGGACGAGCGGGCTAGCAGCGACGATGGACGAATCGCGGACGATTCGTAGGCAGGGGAAGAGAGTAAGCGGATGAAATCCTCTTGGGGGCTCATCTTATCCAGACATGGACGGCAGGCGAGGAGCGACGGAGATCAACGGACAGGAGGACAAGACAGTGAAGTGGATAAGTCAACATCCACCTTCGAGCAGCTGCCACCTTAAAGGAGCAACCGGTTGAAGATCCAGACGACCCGGTATACTCAAGGCAAGTGTGCGGCGAATGGCGAACTTCGTGAGGAGTCGCTGTTGCTTGAATGAGGGAGCGGGAGACCAAGTGCATGTGGTAGTAGAGGGATAGCCTCAGTTCGAGATTAGCAGAGAAGCAGGCAAGTGCTTCCAGAGAGAGCCACGAGCGTATCGGTCTGATACGTTTCGCGCAGAAGATAAGTACAACAACCAGTTAGCCAGTTAGCCAGTGTCATCGCAGTGTTAGTCCTTGAGTGTGAGGGTTTCCCAAGAGTGTGTCAGAGAGACGGGTATTGTAGCCCCGTAGGATCGTCGGTATCAGCAGCCCGCAACGTCGTGACGTGTCCCCAAAGAGAGGGTAGTGGAGTTAGCCCCCGGTACTAAGAGCCCCCGGGATCACGCGCGAGCGATCTGGCAATAGATCTCGACGGATTCCCTTACGTGCACGCGGCCTAGGAACTCAGTTACCGTTTGCTGTGCGTGTGCTAGGATAGCTGTAGGTGTATTTTAGGGCAGCGGTTTCTGTGGCCACCGGACACCGTCTTCTGATCAGGGACAGGACTGGCAGCTACGTGACGTGGACGACCACCTCAACTGACAGACCACGGTGATCATTGACTCAACTGGTTAAAAGCGCGCAGTGAGCTACGACCCGAAGTTCATATTTCAAGAAGCTTACTGCTCTACAAATGCACCTTTTTGAAGTTTTGAAACGCTAATAAAAACAACGCACCTTTTTCCCCCTCGGGGTTGGCAATTTCAGTTGAAAACTCAAAACCATTGCCACCCACAATTGCTTCTGTCATGTCTGCCTCCTCCCACTTTGCCTGCCAAAACATACACTTTCTGTCATTTTATATTCTCAAATTGCAAAAAGTGAAGAAAACAAGTTTACCGACATCGTAGAACGTTGCGCTGGTTCTCGTATCCGTCCATCGTGTTGTCTCCCGTGTTGCAGCCGAATTCGCCGAACATGATGGGGCGTGGGTACGCTGCGTCCTTGTAGTCCTTCATGAGCGTCACTAATCCCTTCGACTGCGAGTACTCTGTGTGTTCAGTAGGGTCGCACTCCACGTACGGGTTGAATCCCATCCACTGCGCTCGTTCATAGGCATCTCCACTGCCGCTCGAGCTGTCATTACTCGCCATACAGTCAAAGTACTGCAGCCATTGAGCTCTCGGTGGAATATCCGCCATCTCCACGCCGATCGGAACTTCCCTCAGACTTCCCACACAACTGTCAGCATACTCACGGATGTCTCGAATCATGGCCTTAATGCAGGGCATGACGGATTCGCCTGAGTCCCCGTCTACGGAGATGAGGTTGGGCTCGTTGGCAACACTGAAGAGCAGAGTGTTGTCGTACACTGCGAAGGCGTTGTACACCATTTGCATGCGGGTGAACATGTCGTCCGGGTAGCATTTGGGGGCGGCCACATCGGCCACAGAGCACCCTACACAAGGCGCAGCCATGCCCACAGACACGTAGATTCCTGCTTGTGAACACGCGCACATGAACTTGTCGTGTGACACACTGGGGTCTACGGAGTACAGACGAATCGTGTTCCCTCCGAGGTCTTGCATGACCTCGAGTTGAGGTTTCCACACGTCTTCGTGCTCGTCAGCAGCCCAGTCGTAGTTAGCGACGTCTGCCATTTCGCCACTGTTGGGTCGGGGGTAGTAGGCCATCCCTTTGCTGCGAAATTCGAGACCAGTCTCCGAGTCGAAGAGCTTGTTGCCTTTGGAAACGATGGGAGCGAGCCATGCTGACGTGAGAGGTAGCGAGGCCAAGACAACAGGAAGCAGTCGATGCAACATCATTGTGGAGGTTCCTGGATAGTGAAACTTTGCCAATCAAATAAACTGAGTTTTGTTCGACAGAAGATCGCGATGGCTACAAATCAGGAATGATCCGTTATGACAGGTTTGCTGTTCGAGCCATTCAAAGCTGAGAGAATTTTTTGCTTTAAGCTACTTACAAAAATATTATGTTCGAAACAGGGCGGCTCTAGTATTAGCTTAGATAACCTTTGCCCAGGTTTATTAAGATGAACGTGTCACTTTGTGCTGCAAGTAATGATTATTCACTGTCACTTGAAGTACACGTACACTTCACCAGCTCCGAATCGACAAATGTGATACAAAGTGACGACAGCCTTATTTCGCTTCCAGTTTAGTACAGAGTACCGTAAAATTCTCTAAGCCGACATGCTGAAGACTTGCACCAGACTTTATGTTGTTGCATTACCGACGGTAATTTACCGTGACAACGTCGGTTGCGCTGTTGGAGAGGCTGTGTTAAGATGTGCTTCAGTCTTTTCCATGGCATTAGAACTTCCAACGTGAAAAATCCCCACGAAGACGGCCGGTTTGCTGACGAATGCACTACAAAAATTCCAACAAGATAAAAACTAATGCTGCTTATATTTTCGTTGCAACGGTGCACACTGTGCAAGTCTATCTGTGTTTAATGAGGCTGTCCTTCGTCTGCATCCTATTTGTGATGAGCTTAGAATGAGACGAACGAGCGCAGTTCGTCGGGTAGGCACACAGTATCGTTGCCCACCTTAGAGACGTAGGCCTCGAGAGCCGAGTCGACGCGTTCGGCTTCAGCCTCGCTGACCTTCACAGTGGCGTTCACACCTTCAATCACAGCGAACTCGGTCGTGTATAGGTAATTGCTGAGGGCCATGACGAACTCGTCAGTGTCTTTGACGTCGCCTGTGTTGGTCGGGTGGTTCAGCCACGTCAGACTTGACACAGCGCCAGCGCGATTACCGGTGCACGTGTACTTATAGTTGAAGCCCGACGGATGAACGTAGAAGCCGTTCTGTTGGACAACGTTGTCACCGCAGTTTCCGACCATCTCCCGGTTTAGGAACAGTTTGAGCGACGCTCCGTTGGTCTGGATGGTCATCAACGTGTTGCCGAACGGCGACCACGACAGCACCTCGCCCAGAGACAGATTACCGGCCGCCACGACCTTGTCACCGCGGATACCGCCGCCGTTCATGACGGCAATGTCAGCGGAGCCGGCGCCGTAATACTGGCGGCCAGCGTCAGCGAAGAGATGGCCGATCTTACAGTCCTTTGTGCGCACGACTGCCTGCGTGAGGTCCAGGTCCTCGCACAGATTGCCGATGACCCGTTCCTCGAGCGCGTCCATCTGAGCCTGGTACGTGGCGATGACTGCGTCCAGAGTGTTGTCTGTCGGCATACTCTCGACAATCGGAATAGCCTGGTGCGTCATAAGAGACGTACGGTCGTTGTTAGCGTCAGCAGCGTAGTACTCAACGTGCGACTTCCAGATGGAGCGGAAGTCGAAGTCGGCTTTAAGATACGGTGTACCGAAGTTGGTCTGCAACATCGACGTGTGGTCGTGGCCTCCGATGATAAGGTCGATGCCTGCCACTTCCTTGGAGATGCGGTTGTCGTCCGCTAGGTCCTGGTGTGTCATAGCGATGATAAAGTCAACGTTCTGAGCCTTCAGAGCCGCCACCTGCTCACGCGCGGCCTGAATCGGGTCCTCCCAGTATAGTCCTTTGCTGGTGTCTTGCATGTCATACATAACGCCGAACAGGCCGATGGAAAGGTGGCCGTTTGTAGCGTCCGTCAAGTTCTTGATGGCGTGGGGCACCGTACCGCGCAGCAGCTGGCGATTAGCGATCTCGTAGCAGTTAGCGTTCAGCCACGGGAAGTTCGAGGCCAGTGTAACGTTCATGAAGTTCTCGAGTCCGAAGTCGAACTCGTGGTTGCCCAGAGACGCAAAGTCCAGACCGATAGCGTTGTGAGCCTTGACCATGTGCTGACCATTAAACTGCGTCGACCAAAGCGACGGCGACACTGTGTCGCCTGCGAACAGCACGAGGCTGTTGGGGTTTGACTCACGCATGGCCTTGGCGATAGGGACCACACGCGATGGACCACCGAGCTTGATCCCTTCGACTGTGTCCTGCAACATCTCGTAGACGTCATTGTAGGACAAGATGTCGAAGTTGGCGGTCAAAGTGCGAGCCTCGGTAGCGGAGGTGGCACCGAGTAAGAAAGCTAGAGGCCCCCAGAGCTGCATGGTTCTAGTACAGATGAACTGTCACGGACGTCGTAAGAAACGAAATGCCGTCCCGCTCGGACGGCGAGGGATAGACGTCCGTGTCCGTGGCTGAGCCGGTGGAGAGGCAGACATCCGGTGGCGTGTACTATGGAGGCTAGGCAAGATATTTGTGGCCTTTGCCCCATCTTAGTCCTGTACACATCATTGGAATTTCCAATTTGGAAAATGTTAGGCGGATAGTCGGTCCACACAAGCGGACACTTGAAGGCGATTCGACAGCCTGGTTTGTGGCTCAATGTACGTGTCACGTATCCGATACACCGCTTGGATGTTGAGCTCGGAGTCCGATTCTATTGCTGTCCGCAATAAAATCTCTGAATGTTTTATCGGTACAGTACATGTAAAAAGCATAGTATCCATTTGCATGCATCTCTTCAAATTTGAAGTTGCCATTCTACTGATGCGAAGTGTGAGATATAAATACCACTACGATTCCTTTACGTAGGTGGCAGTGCCACCGTGGCACATGTATCTGAGCCCGTCGCCGTCATTGACGGCGTCAACGGTGCTGGAGTGTATTATTACATGGACAAGACTACGAGTTCGTCGTCACGCGAATGGATCTCGTTTCCAATCGACCGCATGGCGTTTAAACGAGTCGCTGTGGACCACAGTGTGGCTATTTTTGAGCATGGCGCAGCAACAGATGCAAGTACGCTTTTGTTGTCGAGTCTGAGGTGGGCCGGCAACGCAGTGTCTTCGTGAATGTTTTTGAATGTGAATGTTGTTGTACACTGTAGAAATCTTACGTATACATGTACAGGACTGCACCCCGTTTTCGCGCCCTTGGACCTTTAATAAACTTCCGGATGTGATGATCCAAAATCTAAATTAACTATTGTTTGCTTGCTAAAATCTAATCTATTTGCAGACCCTATATGATGCACCCTTGCGAAAACGGGGTGCGATACTGTACATGATAGTACTAAAACACATCCCAAGCCAGACTCCCCGACAGCACAACCAATACGCAACACTGTTGTTGCAGCAGTGCTGCCTTGCCGCACACTGACGCGATGGACAGGGGCACTTGCGACTGATGAGCGCGCATCCACAGCCATGTGATCTTCGAACCGAAATGAACGTTGCGCCTTGTGAAAGTGGGCGCAGGTGGTTCTCCTCCGTCTCTAAACTCTATCGCTACGACGTTCACTGTGCATCGCTTACATGTACATGTATCAGTCTTGCTTGTTGACATGTGAGCAAAAGTTGCCGTGCATCCAGAATCTTTCTGCCGTCAACGTGGGCTTATTGCTCATTGCTGGGTTCGTTGCAGGTGTGTACATACATGTATTGGTACATGTAGTACCATTTTTTTGCAGATGCAATTAAAAAGGAGAGGATGGAGCAGATTGATACTTTACCTCAGTTATGACGTGTCAAAGCAGAAAACGTATTTGACACAACGCGATACTGGTACCATACCATTGGTATGGTCAAGCCTAGCAGAGGAACTATGTTTTACAGCCAGGCAGGAACGTTGCGTTTCCCAGAGCTAGGATATACTACAGTAATAGAAGTAAATTCTTAACAAAATTTACTATTTATAAATATTAATACGAAGTCTGTGTGTGTTAGTCGCACACCATTTTTACTTAATTTGGCTTAGTAGTGCTACGTACTGTACTGTAGACTACTGTATAAAAAATAAACCTGGTCAAAATACCGGTATCCAAACAGTACCGGCGGGCGGCGTTCGATCATCCGCATCACGATTTTCTGCATTTTGGGCTGGCCTTCCTCTATGAATCGGTCAATTGGAGCAGGAAAGCGACTCTGGATGGCGGTAAACTTGTCGAGGAAGTGTTCCCAGACCTTGGTATGTTGATCTTCGGTCCAGAAGACTGGGGTTGGTCGGACGTCGTGCGGATAAGAACTTTTACCTAAGTTCGGTGCCGTTTTGATGGTGTATGTTCGCCCTTCCGTTTGTTAGGTTGTGGATATGATGCGTAGCCTGGAGAGAATAATGGAAAGTGAGCTCTTGTTTGAATACTGTCGAGTGGGTGTTGGGATACAGTACTGCACCCCGTTTTCGCGGGGGTGGACCATATAGGATTTGCAAGTAAGTCATATTTAAGCTTATAAACTATAGTTCATTTGGATTTAGGACCATCACATCCGGAAGTTTATCAAAGGTCCAAGGGCGCGAAAACGGGGTGCAGTACTGTACGACACCATGAGGACCATGAGGCGGTCTGTCCAGAATGAATATCGCCTGAAACTCCAGTAACCACTTGCATGCATGTACAGTACAGTACCGCTGTTTTCTAATCAGCCATTTCCAATACCACCATTATCGTAAAACCGGTCGCATTATGGCAGTGTGCAGCTTCAACTTGTTGATGAAAAGCTCGGAATATGATACCTAATTGAGAAAATATGCTCTCTTATAAATACAGTCGAACACGCTAAAAAGAAGTCGTATTTTACTCGCTAAGTTTTACGAAAAAACGAAAGCAAATGTGCTCGCTACACAGACTCTTTGCAATAGTCGCTCACGTCTACATGAAGTAAGAATTGTGCATTTCAATGGTTTTTGTCCTTTCACTTGGCCTGATGCTCGATTTATAATAAATATAAGCTAATCGATGTCTATAAAATGTACAAATCGAGCTACAACAGTCGCTCGGGACCGATCAACCACCAAATCCACATCGATATCCTATAAATCGACCCTTTTTGCTTTTTTGAAAGGGGATATTCGATCACAGATAAAACAAATCGATGCCTGCCTCTTTCCATCTCATTTTTACGCGTGGTTTTATGCTCCGACCATGCTCGATCTAGGCTATAAAACGGATGGACATTCCATCTGCAAAACACAGTACATCTAATCAAGTGTTCTGATGAATAGATTGGCGCAACCAGCGACTCCTTGGCTCACCACTATTATTAAATCTGGCCCATTCATTCCAACTGCATGTGTTTTATTTAAAAGCAGTTAGTCCTAATAAGTCTTGAAATCGTGTAGACTTTTTGTTTGACCTCTGGAATTTGATTCTTGTATAAGCGAGACGTATTCATTTCGCTGTTGTTTTTTCAGTTTAAGGCAAAACGATTTTTTTATCTCCGTGGGCGGGAAAAAATATCAGTTTCAATATTTCGATCTCAATAAGATACTTTATTAACAGTTTTAAAATACTGTTATTTGTACGACCTGGCCTCGGACCTCCGATTTAAGCGCGGTTCACCGTTCAATGAACGGTGTAGAGTCTCACTGCCCCGTTTGCTGGCAGTGAGGCTTAAAAAGAGATCAGACTCGTGATGATGATACGTATACAGTTCCTAGTGCTCTTATGTACCCCAATAGCGGTTTTAAATTAAGTCGTGACCCAGATTAAAACATAGCAACGACCCACATGCATTTACGCTGGGGATTTAGCGGTGAAGAAATACATGTATTGTCGCAACCATGTTGCCCGTATAGATACTAAGGTCATTCTCATTCAGATTGCATGAGCATTATTTGCTGTCAGCGACAGTGTCACAGCACAGTTGGAGTGGACCTTAGCTTGCAATCCACTCGTCTACCGTCGGTAGCCGCCAATGACGGTAGCCTACCGTACCGGGGATTTTTATCGCTTGACTCCGTAACGAAGGGCTCTCCATGTAGACACCGCAACGAAAAAGATAAGGAATTTATCTAAATCCCTCAAACCTAAACTCAAACGTGGGGGCTAAACCTTAAGCCCGCTACTTGATAGTGATGGCCATTAGCGGTCCTGGGTTTGTACCCCCGTGCTACGCACACGGTCTACAAACCGCAGGCATGCTCGATGCGCTCGCTTTAGGTACCCTACGCGCTTCGCGCGGGGTCAAGGTTGGCCGTTGCCCTTCGTTGCGGATTCTAGCGATAAACTTTCCCGTACCGATAGCTGTTGAAGAACGGTGGGTGATCTGCAGGAATCCTGCAGAGACCCGAGGAATTACCATAATTCAGTAGAAGAGCACAAATTCCAAAAAGAAAGCCGTCAAGTACGCAAATTTATAGTAATCTGCTTTGGTTTGCAAGTTTGCGTGTCGTTTAAAACTTCGATCTTAATACGATCCCAACCTCTGCGCCTCAAACGCCAAAGAAGTTGATGCGATCCCCAGTCATGTTTAACACTCTAAACTCGGATTTGAGCTGTTCTATTCACAACTTCATTGGGATAACATGCGCCCTATCATATTAATTTGTTGAGCCTGTATCTATGAAATGATGTGACTCTTCTACTTACGAGTGTCTGCACTTTAGTCTGCGTAAGGGATTTGATAATCTGATAAAACATCGTTGTCCAAAGCTGGAGAGGGGCATGACAATTTAGCAGCTGTCAACAATTATCACGAAGGTGCGAAATACACTTTATCCTACTCAATAAGCTTACGCTAACATATAGGTGCCACGAAGAGGCAATGATGGGGACATTTGCACTGCAAAGTTTATAGTAGCTCAAAGCTCCTTTTCGTTATAATCCCTGGTGTCGCTGCAGATATTTCTTTGTTCAATAAACTAAGCGACCGAATCTCAATAATAAACAGCCGTACAAACATTGGTGTATGGCTTAAATTTATCCAAATTTATTTTTAGGCTAACGATCAACACGCTCGTCATATTTATAGCAGCAAAGCATAATAACAGGACTCGTGAAAACAGACAGTTTTATCTGTCCCACTGAAGAAAATTAGTTTGGACACCTACTGCTGCAGTAGGCAGGGAACCCGAAAAAATAATATGCGTAAAAATTAATCCTAATTTTTTAATTTAATTATTAATTTATGGCTGTCCACAACGGGAACAACCCCAATTTTGAGTAAGGTCTAGTCAAGTTACAGCGTGGGGGTGCGCTGAACGTCGCGGAAAAATTAGCCTGCGCTGAATTTAGGTCGCCTGATCTCGAACGGTCGTCTTCAAGAGCCGCCGAGAGCGTTCTATTGTGAGAGCGGCGTTCAAGAAACGCAATTGCGCTGCGTCGACG